ATTCTTTCTCCTTCTACCTTCTATATTATTTTCCATCTTTCATATATAAATCTTTACCATGAGCCTCACTAATATACTTCTTTTGATGATAATACTCTATTAATGAATTGATAACATCTTCAAGAATGGGTACTGTATTACCATACAACAAGGCTGTAGTAAGATGATTATATGAATCAAAAAGAGAAATAAATAAAATAATATTTTTTTCTCATTAGAAAAAGTTGATTTCATATGAAGTAAGTCATTCAGTAATTAATTAAATTAATTAATATGAAATGTTAAGTCTTTTCTTTCTAACATAATGTAACTCAAATAACTTTCTCTTCAATGTCAATTTACTCATCATCTACTTTGGTGCACATCACTTCTTCAACTTTTTTTAGAGTTCTTTAAGATTATATTTATCCATGACTTGTTGAAGAGTTTAACCAAACAAACATGTATGAATAAAACCGTTAGCCTTGTTTTTCATTAGCTTTCAATCATTAACATCAATCTTATTTGAGTTTATTTCATTTAAGATTATAATATATCATACACATGATACTTTTAAAGATTAAAATTGGATGACTTACCTAACTTTTGAATGTTAGTGTGCACCTTAGAAGTTATAGTAAGTCTAAAAATAACTAAACATGGCTATGATATTATTTGTAGGAATAAATATACAAGCACATCATCACATCACTAACAGAAACTCAATTTTTATATATTAGTAAGACTAAAGTAGAAGAGAAATTATCAAGCTATCAAGAATCTTGATGATAACACAACTTTCACTAAACACCTCTACTCCACATCTTAACACCTTTGAGATGACCCACACATTGGAGAGTCAATAATAAACTCTTATATCTTTCTATAAAGACTTCACCTGTAATAGGAAAAAGAAGAGAGACTAAGAAAGGTGAGGAGAATTAATAGAGAGAGAGAATGGAATCAAAGGAGAGAGAGATTCTCGTTGTTCTTTGTACTTATCAAAAAGAAAATACATGTCTTATATATAGAAAAGGAAAAAGGTAACCACCCCCTAAAAGGTGAGATTCTTGACTTATGTGCAAGTAGATCCACACATCTTGGAAGTAATGATTTCGACCACCATCATTTTTTGCTCTCTCCCTACATGATCCCCAAATGAGTCAATAAGGATGAGGTGACAATTGTGACACCGCCCCTCACTCACACATCCCCCAAATAGGTCAGATGGGATGGGGTGACATTGCCAACAATTTTCTCACCTTCTTCATAAACATGGAACATCTATTTGAGATAGATAAATAGATAGAGAATGGGAGAGAGAGAGAGAGAGAGAGAGAGAGAGAGAGAGAGAGAGAGGTGTATGATGGCGACTAACGTGTAGTGAGAGAAAATGGACATCTTGATGTTATCCCTACCATCATGTCCATTTTGATGGGGGATTATTGGTGGTACATCTTCAACATTCTCCATCATCATCATTGTTTTTATAATAATGTATTAAAATGCTCTTTGTAGATATGTCCTCTAGTTGTTGAATTGACAGTAGAGCAAATACTTCTAGGTTGTGCAGATTGGTAGAGATCAATCATAAATGCTCATCTTTAATGATTTTATTACATTTCTTTCACCAGCCCACTTATTACTGATTTTTGGTTAGGGCTTATAGGAAAGAGTAAAGAAGCAAATATATCATTGTTGTTGTTTTCATTGAAAAATCTCTACACTTATATGCAAAAATCAAATTTGAAAGTCTTTTAGATTTTCTGGGATATTCTAACATTCATTTGCCTTAAACGATCATAATTTAAATGGCTATAAAACCAATGTGACACGTCATTTTAACTTTAGATCCTCATAGTTAAGCCAATATTTAGTATTGATAAAATACATAATTTGTCACTAAGACATTGATATAAAATAGATCAAGGATTTGATATCATGAGTTCAAATCAAATATAATACATTATTAAAGTACTGACTTGGTAATTATATCTTATCAAAATTGGCTCAAATAACTTTAGTAATTAATTTGATATCTCAAGCCATAATTTAAGTGCATAAAAACATATCTTCGACAATATAATACTTGTTCTCAATACATAAGATATTACATAGGGCTCATAAGTACTGAAATTCGTAGTTAGATCTTAATCAATACTCTTATGATAATGATAGTTCAATCCTATTGATATAATATAATAGACACAAGAAGGAACAAGTCAAATTCATACCTATATTCAGATGTTGTTCTTTGTTGGTTAAAATCTGCTTAATTATTATTTTCCTATAGGAGGTATTCTACAACTAATCATTATTTCAAAAAACATAATTCCTTATGATAAAAGTAGCATGATAAATAACTTCATTATTTTGATTAATGTTGTACACAATATTAACTACAATTGAATGTGTCTATATAATTTTCATTTCATTTTTCATCTTCAAAATATTATCCATTTAATGTTCCAAAAGATTTCTTTATGTGGCTATCTCTATAAATATTGATAATATATATATATTACTATTTATGATTTTAGTTTCACATGATGAGATAAATCAAATGAGTAAATTCAGCTTCATGAGTCAGAAGTATATTCAGTGAATTATCATCTAGGCAATTAACATAATTATTTTGAGTTGTCTTAACACTTTTAGGTTTAGTCTCATACCACGCATATTTAAAACTAGAAAATATTTGATGTTTTTGATTGATCTTGGAGTTGTTTTTCACCATCAAAACACCATAAATTTAATGCTAGTACAAGAACAAATCTTAAGGTGTAACATAGTTGACACCTCCACATCCTAGTGAAGGTTGTGATTCAACAATGTAAGTACAACATAATGTCCAAGTGTGGTAAAAGTACTTGATACTTTTTATTATGTTCAATCCTCTTATTCATTATCTAATTATAAGTATCACATGTGTTACGATTAGTAGTCACCTTACAATATACATTATCAATTAATTTTTTAATAAATATGATTAGTAAAAAATCTATGTACATGTAAAAGTATTTTTAATTACACAGATAATTAATTTTATAATTTTATATTTTTTACAGTGATTAGTAATTCATTAACTACAACTACCTTGCTATTACTTGGATAAGGATTAAAAATTAAAAGATGACTAAAGATATTAGTCATATGATCAATGACTCATGTATAAGAAATTCATGACGTAGAAAAAGAATTACATATTGCATGTAATAAGAAAGATCAAGAGTCATAAAAGTTTCTCATAGAGCTGGATGTCATAGTTGATTCTATATTTTGTTCTCAACCATTTAGCCTTCAAACACCCCTTGATTATACACCTCTTGTCCTATGGCTACCTTAAAAGTTAGTAAGGTGTGAGATGATATTGGCCTCTTATTTGAAGCCTTCTATGGAAACCATAGTATCATTCCAATTGTGCCCTGCTCGTTTGCGACAAGCGCATCATAGGGTGCCCTTATAGTTGCTCTTCTTGAGACCTATACTTTGTCATCTAGATGGGCCTTTGTTTTTTTATATTTAACAAAAAATGCTAAAATTATCAATATTCTATGGTTCTATGATATTCTCTTTCTATTTTCTTAATTTCTCATCGATATGATGACTACCTCCAAGTTTTGGATCCTTTATCTCCATTAAATTTCTTCTCAAATTTGATCATACCCAAGATAAATCTAATGAAAAATTTATCAATTTTATTAATCTCTATATATTTATGAAAAAAGAGTACATCCTATGAATCCTCGTGGTAATTGGCCTCTATCTATCAATTTCCTATCATCATCATGACTCTAACTTATTAGCATATTATCTCATTGATGTGGGTATTACATTAGAGTGATTGTTTTTCCTATTTCTTTCTAGATTGGGCTCCTCCATTCTTTTTGAGAAAGTCTTACAAGTATTTTTCCAAATATCTTTTGTGTTAGAAAAAGATATAAAATTTGCATTTACTTCTAGACTCATGTACAAGAGAGCCATGTGTTAATTATGAAATCTTCTTCCTCCATGAATTGAATCATGGATTAGCTGATTTATGCGCCAATTTCAATAGATAATTTCGCTTTCCTCTTCTAGTCAAAAAGACTTAAATGAAACCAGTCCACTTAAGTAAATTTCTTGGATTTAAATTGAATTCACTTGGAGTATTTGGTAATCCTAATTTAGATTTGGAGCATTTTATAGTGTAAGCTGATGAAGAGACCATTTATATCATTGGAGACATAAAAAATACCATGTCTTTGATAAAAAAAATGATGTGTTCCCAATCCCCTGGAGGAGAAATAGGGCCAGAAAGAGGAAATAAGGGGTCATGTAGTAAAAAAGTCAGAAATACTTCTTTTTAAGATGGATTGATCTTTTCTGTCACCCCTTAATACTGGGGAAATATATAGGGTTGAGAATCTCCTTCAACATAGTTGTACAGTCAATGATCGTCATAAAGGGGGCAGAAAAAATGAATTTCAAAAACTAGGACAAATCAGAACTGAATGCCTTTGATCAAGGTAAATGAGTATGAAATATACCTCTAAGAGGTCAAAAATGGTGGAATAAGGTCACATGAAATAATCTGATACCATTTGAAACACCACGATCGTTGGTCGCCGAAAGAAGTCTTGGAGTTGGGAAGAGAGCCGTTGGCTCACTAGAGAGGAGAGAGAAAAGGAAAGGTGAACATAAATATTGAACCAAATAAAAAAACGATTTACAATGGACCTGACTAACTGGATTAGATCTGGGTAATTGGACTTCACTTATGCCAAGTTGGATCTGACGCATAGCGAACAAAAAAAGATAAAAATATAAGATAAAAAGTACATATGATTAACAACAAGAGGGCGTATAGCTGCCATCTTCTGCCCTCCGACAAGTACATAACCAAAGCTGTTGACACTCCCTCTTACGGAAGTTTATTCAAATGAGCTAACCCACATTAATCCATTACTTAAACCATGAGTCAATCTAGTTGTCTTTTCTGTTTACGTCCCATCCACCAGGAAACCATGCAACCCGGGTCCTCAATTCACCCTACTGCAGACCCGCCTGATCTCCCCGTTGGAGCCGGTGAGAGGGCTGATGTTGCCCATCTTCACCATCGCCGCCGCGAAGTCCCTGAAGAAGACGAAGCTGCTGGCCGCGTAGCTTCGGACGATAGAATCGGCGGAGCCATTGTTGAAGAGCTCCTGGTCGGAGTGGAGGAGACCGCGCCGGGACAAGAGGTTGCGGTAGTAGGCGTTGTCGAAGGCCCTCGGGGTGCTGATGTCGAGCGGGGAGAGGTTGGTGTCGCCGCCGGACTGCGGGCAGTTGGCCTGTGTTGAGCGGGCAAAGACGGGTTCGATGTTGGCGTCGTTGTAAATGCGGCTGCGGAAGGTGGCGCAGCGGGCCACGCCGAAGGTGTGCGCGCCGGAGAGGGCCACCAGGTCCCGCAGGTTGAGTCCCTGGTTGGCGAAGCTGGAGATGAGCGCCGATAGGCTGGACGACGGGCCGGGAAGGTTGCTGTTGGCTGCGTTCTGGCTCGCCGTCCTCGCGTCCCTCCGCCCGAGGGGCACTGTCCACGAAGGTCCTCCGCTCTGCGTGGAAGAAGGCAGTCAGTCTCCTCTGGTTAGCGATTGGATTCGTCCAATATAAGGCAAACGGGTAAACGAGAGGAGCCTAAGGCACTCACTAAGACAACGCCGTCCCTAGTGGCGAGGGCCAGGATGTCGGCGCACGACACCGTGGCGTTGCACGCCGCCTCGACGGCGGACTTGATGGTCTCGACGACGTTCATGCCTCGAATGGAGTTCCGGTTCGGGAAGGCGTTCTGCTCTCCGGTGAAGGTCGCGGTGTCGGCCAGGAGCACCGATGCGTCGCAGCCCTGCATGATCACACGTGCGGCGGCATTAGAACCGTTGCGGCTGGGAGGTGAGACGACCGGCCATCCTTCATCTGAAAGAGTCTGCTCTCTAGTACGCGCACTTACGTTGACGAAGCAGTCGTGGAAGAATAGGCGGATCATGGAGGCGGGCAAGCGGCGGTCGTTCCGGACGGCCGTTCGCATGGCATTTTGGACGATCCTGTGCAGGTTTGGGCAGGTGGACGAGTAGAAGTTCGGCCTCAGCTGCGCGTGTGCGGTGCACACGAAAAGGAGGAGGACGAGGAGGGAGAAGGCAAGAGACGACATGCTGCGTGTGGCGGCCATTTGCAAGTGATGGAGAGATGCCTTTCTCTATCGGAGTTTGTGTATGTTTGTCTGTCTCTCTCTGTATCTTTCTCTTTCTTCTTCTCCCTCAAACTTTCTCTCTTTCTCTGGAGCTGAAGTTTAGGGTGATGTGATGAAGTCCGGCGGGGATTTTGCTTCTTATATAGACGGCGGCATGCGATGTCCTGGCTGGCGTGATTGTGAAAGGTTGGAGGGTCGTAGTCGTCATCTTTCCGCGTGAGGCCTGTCCGGAAGCGAACGGTGATTGACCAGGGACAGGCTGGAGGGGGGTAGGAGGGATGTTGACCTTCCGAAATCGGCGTTGGAGGCGACGGCTAAGTCAGTTCCCATATCTGAGAGAGAGGGACAGGAGGGAGGGAGGGAGGGAGAGAGAGAGAGAGAGAGAGAGAGAGAGAGAAAGAGGAACGGCTCTACTCTAGCACGTACATCAGATTTATCATAGATCTGTAGTACACAAGCTTCTGCCTACTACGAATAATGAAACTTTGTTAACCCGTTCCCTAAGGCTCCTTGATCATTACTCATCGCCGAAAGACTGAACCAAGAAATATCAGAAAGATTGTTCGACCAAGTTTTTGGTAGGCAAAAGGAGGATTATTAACCGAAGTTTAAGCCAATCAGATCCCCAAAGCTTTAACCCACCGGACAACGACGATGGAGGGAGTTGAGTTTTTCCAGGGAATCCGCGCTTTGTCCCAAAGCTTTGACCCATCGATCAAAGATGCTGCTCTGTCCACGTCGCGGGCTTGTTCAATCCGCTGGCTTCCCCACCCCCCCAAAAGCAAGAAAAGCCAAGATTTCTTGGAAAGGGGCTCTATTAGCGTGAGCCAATGGGAAAAAGGTTAACCGTCGCGACGCGGAAGCTGACGGAAGGAGCTTGAATGTTTCTAAATTATTTACGTTATCACAGCTTTGATAGCTCCTCGGCCCAGTTTAACTGCATATCCCATCTCTTGTTGAGGATCAAATCAGATCTTCATCACTGGTAGAGTTGGAGGTCAAACCGAGACACGTTCATCACAACATAGATGTGCAGAATGATATAGTTTCCTTTTCTCCCACAAGGGATCAATGTTTGACTACGCCACATATCTATCTCTATCTAACTAACAAGGGTTGCCCCTCAGCACCACTTCCGTACTATTTTATTTTCTCGCCTTCTCTGTAAACAGGGAGCATCTTTATTCGAAATATATTATATATAGCGAGAGAGAGAGAGAGAGAGAGTTCGGTGGACGATGGCGACTAACATGCAGTGAGAGAAAATGGACATCTCGGCCACCAGATTGTAGATGTTATCCCTGCCGTCACGTTCATAAAAATATAGCATAATTTTATAATTTAAATTATTAACATCAAACCAAACAAAGAGCAGAATAAGTCCGTGTATGAAGAACAACCAGGCCGTGGGCCCACCTTTGACGTTTGAGCGCCTAACTCTTGAATGTGATTGAAACGTCAACACTGAACGGATAAGACCTCAGTCCTGAAAAATCACCGAATGGGATTTCTCTGGTTGGGCCTGGTGCTACGACGACAGTCGGTGCAAGACAACTCAGGAAACCACTTTCCACATTAGTCAAACATGTAATGCCTGGAGAAGGATTTCACTCACCTCCATGAGAAGTATTTGACGAATCGAACCCTTCTTGTTCATTCACTATTGATTGACCGAAAAGGTCAGACTTTTTGGCTTCTAGGGGCGGTGGTTTCTTTTTTTTCTCAACTTGTACATCGATAAGACTGATACACCGATGCTCTCCCTCTCTCTCTCTCTTAGAGATGAAAGCTGAGTTAGCTGTCGCCTCCAGCGCCGACTGCGAAAGGTCAACTACCCTCCAGCCTCTCGCCATTGGAAACCAAGTGCGCCTTCCCTGGTTTCGCGCCGTCTATCGAAGGCGGAGCAGCCCCTGAGGGATTCACCACACCACCCCTATCTTCAGCTCTTATCAGGATAAAATCCCTTTGTTATTTTCTGTTTTGGGATATCTTCATTCCATTGTCGAATATGTTTTTGCTTCGTTAAGATATCACGAAAGGGTTGATGACATGACTAATTTGATGGAATAATGTAGAGTGTTGCTTCCTCTCTAAGAATTACAAAAGTCTTTTTTTAGCTTCAGCACCTTTGCTTGCATCGTAATATTTTTTATTTCTTGAAATGTATAACCATAAGCGCAAGAACATAACGTCATTATCTAGATATTCTTGAAATGTACCGTACAAAAACTTTAATCCGTAAATATCATCAATGCTATCTACGGACATGTACCTAACAAAAACTCGAGGTTCACGTCAAACTGATCTCAGTTTGACAAAGATAACAGAATTGCAAATGAGCCGACTTCAAAGTTACACGGAATGGTGCTTTTCTATTATTAAAATTAAGCCTTTCTTACAACTTGACAAAAACATATCAAGATTTGTTGACCATTGTCTTTACATTTGTTTACTTAGAAAAACCGGCTTCCATCTAGTGCAGTCCGATCAACAAAAAAGTCGTGCATCCTAAGCCCTCAGTTTACCCTAGTGCAGGCCCGCCTGATCTCCCCGTTGGAGCCGTTGGAACTCTCATATATCATTGTCGTTCAGTGTCATGTTGTCATGGAGCTGTTTCTCCTATCTCCCATTGAGCGATCTAGCCGCTTCCTGGCAGATTACACATGGTCAGGTCAATGACTTGTTTGTTTCTAACTTAGGCGTCCGCCTTTGCCTCGACGATGTGTTTCTTAAAATAGTTCGAAGAGAACTCTAATAGCTATCCCCAATCTACCAAGTTAACTTTTTCGTTTGTACCGTTATTACTCTGTCACTCTTTCTTCTGACCGTCGATCTCCCTCGGCACTTTGGGGAGAGAGAGAGAGAGAGAAGTCATTGACGAGGCGGAATTTTTATAATACCACTAGGCAAGGTGGAATTTTTCAACGCGTAAACAGGGGCCACACACTCAAACGCGTATCTATAAACTGTCACACATGTGGCTCGTGATAACTTTTCCTCGGGATGTCTTAGCTTCTCCTGACTACGAATGATGAATATCCCCTTTCCACTAACAGACTTGGACCCTGACTCGAGGCTGACCGTGGATCTCCTTCGGCAATCGGTAGCTCTTACATTCCAATGGCCGCCAAGTCACGATGCCGACAACGCATTTACCACCTAGGCAACGTATCCCCTACACGGCATTAACAACGTCCATGTCGTACTGCTGCAATGACGAAAAAATAAAATAAGAAAGGTCAGAAAGAATGCGCGAGGAAGCTTTTGACCGATAAGGTAGGCGAAAGGATAATAACTAGCTGAGGTTTTATCCAATCAGTTCCCCAAAAATTTAACCTGGCGGGCCACGAGACGTGGGAATTCCGTCAAATGTTGATCATTCCACGCGGCGGGACTGTTCAGATCTGCCGCCTCTTGCCTCGCCTCTCCCCCACATGCAATAAATGTCGTGAAGACTTGGGAACCGGCGAAAGATTTTTGGACTTTGGTCAGCGGAGAACTAACAGACGGCTGATCATCTCAGCGCGACGCCGAAACCGATGGAAGGTGATCCGACTGTAATTTCGACTCCTGAGATCGGCCAAATTCAGCTTAACTACATATCCTATCACCCCTCGGGTGTTGAAGCAGATCTAGCAGTTCTTGGGTTGCCAGTCAGACGGAGCCGCGTAGATCACCGAATAACGGTGCATGATGATATGGTTTCATCTCCATACGTAAGAGGACAATGCTTGACTATGGCAACCGTCTCTCTCTCACTGCCACTCCTTGACGGAGAGATAATGGTTGAACATACGAAATAAAACTTCTCCATTCATTAAACCCGTGGTATTAGAGGTTAATTATGCTAGATAATAAGGAAAATCGTCCCTTAATCGGCCTGGGATGAGGCGCTGGCGGCGTGGACGGTGGTTCCAGTTCTTGGGTCCTCGTCATTACGTCACAAGGCTTTACTCTCAGCAATACTTCACTTCTATTTTATCCATTTGGCTTCTTTGGTAAACAAGACATCTTTTCGCTGGGTCAGCTCATGGAAAGTTCAGGTGAGAGAGAGGCAGAGAGGGAAGCGGTTGGGTGGGCGATCGCGAATGGCCGACAACCATGCAAAAACACTTTTTTTCGGAGATTAGAGTGTCAATGTTGTTCCTGGCGTAACGCCTTATTTCAATAGGGGATTATTCAACCTTCCGCATCGCCATCGCTTTTGTTATAACGGGCCATGGAACTACCCAATGATCTTGAGAAGCGTAAAACATATGAATCTAGTTGCTAGTGAATCTCACCCATAAAATAATGACTACATTTTCACGGGAAAAAAAAACCCAGAAAGTATTAGCATCATAAAATGATACGTGCAAGCATACTACTATAAATATCTAAAATTCAAAATTTATATGAAAAGAGTATAGAACAAGGAAAAGCAACATATTTATTCAATCTCGAATTTGAATCATTCGGCGGTGGGCGTATGAATTGAACTTTTCGCATCCGAGTTTTTTGAAATAATGAATCTGATGCACGATCACATTCCAAAAAAACAAAGACCGATTGACAGGTAGGAGCCCACATTTGACTTTTGACAGGTCAAACATCAGGATGATTGAAACTTTCGGTACGGATCGAATCTATACCAGAAATATCCACCAATTGGATGGCTATGGTAGTCCCAGGTGTTACGAAGCTAGGTTGTTCAAGAACAAAGCAAAACCCCACTCTACTACGGTGAAACACGACATGTCTGCAGAAGGATTTCAGCGATCTCGGGAAGAAATAGACGACGAATCGAATACTTCTTGTTGTTCCGCTCGGGTTTTAACAGTAAAACGTCGGAATGTTTCGACGCTTAAGATGTTGCCGACACTTTCTCCCTTTCTCTCAGATATGGGAACTGACTTTGCCGTTGCCTCCAAAGTCGACTTTTGAAAGTCAACTTCCCTCCTACCCCCTCTAGCCTGTCGCCGTGCCAACCAGAGACGCTT